GCCGGCCCCCTTCAGCCTGGCGCGGTTAGTGTGGGATCCAGGCGTCGCTTTCCCCTGAGGCTGGGCCCGGACAAGTGCGGGCCTTACGGAAGGCGGGAAGTGGGGTCCTGGGACATTCTCGGATGGTTTTCCCCTGGGTAGGGGCTTGCTCTGGCTTCCAGGGGATATATTTTCGGAGGTGACTGGAGGACGGAGCGGTAGGGGAGTGAGGGAGTGGCGGCGGCAGTGGCGATTTGTGGCCCTTGGGTTAGGCTGAGGCTTGTTGGAAAACGTGGTTTTCTTGTCTTGGCTTTTATCCCCGACAGTTCGTTTGGCAGTGTTGAAGGTTTTCCAGTTTCTGCCAGATGCTGTATCGTGATGCTTTGACTTGGAATTTTTCATATGTCGCCTCATTTCTCTCTTTTCAACATGAATCAGTGTCTGATTCTCCTCGCGGAGCAGACGGCAGGGATTACTGGGGAAATGGGAATTACTCCGTTTCTTGACTATTTTCCAGTGATACAGTTAGGATTCCTGAGAGAAAAGACAGAACGAACATCTTTGTTTTGTAGGATTTCCTTTGGAGTTACGGAGTATTAGAGAGGGAACAGATTTATCATTTATTTATCTAAATTAGATTTAAATGTTATGCCATTTTGGCTAAATGATTGTTTTGGGTTAATATTTCATAGTATCTGATGAGTGAAGTTTTTATGCCATTTACCTCTCAGGCTTCTGCTGTCGCTGTATTCTATATGAGGTGTAACATTCTAATTTCGTGATGGCTGTCTCTAAATATTTCTTGTGATAGTTGTGCTTTTATGCTGTATTAAGCAAACTTCACACTGTATAATTTAGAGATGATCATCCTCCGTTGTTTTTCTCACACTTCTGACTGTCTTTAAAGTTGAGACATTGAGGTATTAGTTCTTCCAGAGTCATCAGACATTGAGTTACCTGCTAGGTGTTTTAGGTTAGGTTGTAACACATTTATTTCTTTTGACTGGAAAGAAGGTAGCTGATAGAAATCCAGAGCTTTTATTACCACCTTGAACTAATTTGTATGACATTAAAAGTAGTTTAATAGTAGTTGCAAAATTGCTTCCAGTGAGACCTAAGAAATCATTTTTCTCCATTCATACATAATTTTTCCTCCCTGCCCTTTAACCAAGTCTCCTCTTTGCCTAATTTTCCATAAGTAAATATGAACTTGTTTTTTCAGTAACTTAGCAAGACTTGTAAAGTGGATCCTTATTCAGGTATTTTATGACAATTGCAAGACACTGCCATACATAAGATACAGCCTTTTGGTTATTATTGTTAAGTATGGTTTGAAATGCTTGTTGTGTTCTCTAGGGATGTTACTGCCTGCCTTATGTTGTGATGCAGAGCTGTTTAGTGTGTATGAAAAATCCATTAATCTCTGTCCTAGGAAGGTTTTAGTATGAATAGACGATTACTTAAGTATTTGCATGTTTCCTTTGAATGTCTTCAATATTTATGTTCTAATTCACATTGCAGAGTTCTATGGCTTTTCATTTCTTTAAGTCTTTATTAACTTCCCCCCCTCCACTGTAATTCCTGAAGCCATCTTAGTGTTTTTTTTTTTTTTTAAGATTTGAGTTTTTTAGAATGGTCTTAGATTTACAGAAAAATTAAGATCATGCAGAGGGTTCCCATGTATCTTCACCGTGTTCCCTTGTTACTACCATCTTATGTTAGTATGGTACTTTGATTATAGTTAATAAACTGATACTGATATGTTTGTTATTAACTATAATTAATATGGCCTATAGTTTATTCAGATTTCCTTAGTTTTTATCTTTTCTTATTTCACCATTCAGTTCAGTATACTACATTACATTTAGTTGTTGTACCTACTTAGATGCTTCTTAGGTTTGGTTTTTTTTTTTTTTTGTATTGGGTTTACATGCTTTTGAACTCTGGAGCTGTGAGATTAATTATCTTTTGAGGCCACTGTATTGCTAAGTGATGCCATCCAGTAGCTTTGACAATGAAAGATCGATCTGTTTTCACAGACAATGTCTTTAGTTTTCTTGTGCATGAGCAAAGGACTGTTGTAGAATCCATGTCATCTTGATGTAACTCTATATGCATTTTTTTACTTTTAGGTTTTAGAATCTCATAATTCAACTTTCAGAGACTAACCTGTGGCAAAGCCTTTCTGTCTCCTTCATAGCATTTACCACATTTATATCTTACTTTTTGTGTGTGTTTTTGTCTGTTTCCCATTGCAGAGTGCAAGTCCCTGGAAGATTAAAAACCACTACTTGTTTGTTCATTGTATCCCCAGTGCCTAGAATAGTGCCAGGCTTTTAGTAGCTACCCAGGAAAGTTGGTAAATGAATGATGGTTGAATCTAATAGTAACCAAAGCTAGTAGCCCTGTTGGTTATGATGAAGTCAACATTTTTTCCTTATGTAATTAATGGTTTAACAATAACATTTAGAGGGAGGATGTAACTAAGTTTGTTTTTTAACAGAGGTACTGGGGATTGGGCCCAAGACCTTGTGCATGCTAGGCGGGCGCGCGCTCTACCCCTGAGCTATATCCTCCCCCCAACAGTAACACTTTGTATTATTTGATTGTAACAGCGATACTCCAGATGCTCAGGGGACAGGGAATCCAATAATTTTTTACCCCGTCACTAAAAAATAGAATACGACTGACCAGAATCTTACACTTTTTTTTTTAGTTGTACAAAATTAGTTTTGTTAAAGCTATTGCTAAATTATTGCTGTTAGCATAGCACCTAAAGTATGTCAAATGATTGTTGAAGCTGTGTTCATGGAACAGACTTAAAGTTATATAGACCATTTTACTTAGCTTTTCAAAAATTTAAGGTTCTGTGGTCTATAATGAGGATGAATTGTTTCAGTATATGAAGCCTCATATTAAATTAATGATGTCAATCTTGGTAATCTTCCTGTAAACACTTACTTTTTTTATATTTCAGTGATATACATGGCTTAATAGAGGAATGTTGAAATGCCAAAAGAAAATCAATGTATCAATCCTTGGGGAACTGAATTCTATCCAAGGCAAAGTATGCTATTACACTCATTCACTAATCACTAGTAAAAATTGCAGAAGATTTCAAAATATTGAATCTGATCATTTTATTATTTTTCTGTTATTTCTGACCTTTTAAAATTGAAGTATAGCAGTTACAATGTGTCAGTTTCTGGTGTACAGCACATTGTTTCAGTTATGCATATACATACATATATTTGTTTTCCTATTCTTCTTTGTTAAATGTTACTACAAGGTATTGAATATAGTTCCCTGTGCTATACAGAATTTTTTACATCTATTTTTATATATAGTGGCTAACATTTGCAAATCTCAAAACTCCCAAATATATCCCTTCCCACCCCTTTTCCCCCAGTAACCATAGGTCTTTTTTTACTTGGCCTCTTTCTGTTTTGTAGATGAGTTCATTAGTGTCCTCTCTGTTTCTTTTTTCAGATTCCGCGTATGAGTGATATTCATAAGGCATTTTTGTTTCTCTTTCTGGCTTGCTTTGACAGTCTCCAAGTACATCCATGTTGCAGCAAATGGCATTTTATTTTTATGGCTGAGTAGTATTCCATTGTGTAAATGTACCACAATTTCTTCATCTAGTGATCTGTTGATGGATATTAGGTTGTTTCTATGTCTTGGCTATTGTAAATAGTGCTGCTGTGAACATTGGAGTGCACATATTTTTTGGACTTAGAGTTCCCTCTGGATATATGTCTAGGAGTGGGATTGCTGGAGCTAAGTCAATTTTTAGTTTTTTGAGGACTCTCCATACTGTTTTCCATATGGCTGCATCAAAATACATTCCCACCAGCAGTGTAGCCCGGTTCCCTTTTCTCCTCTCCGGGATTTATTGCTCATGGACTTTTTGATGATGGCCATCCTGACTGGTGTGAGGTAGGTATAATTTTGATATGCATTTCTCTGATAATTAGCGATACTGAGCATTTTTTCATGTGCCTATTGGCCAGTTACATGTCTTCAG